TTTTAAAGCAGTGGTTGATTTTTCTTTTTTCTTTTTTTTTTTTTTTTTAAGGGGTTTTTAGGCTGCCGTAGGAACTGGTGGGGACCATGGTTTACTATATTGTTCTTAAATGCATTACTGGAAGTCTAATTTCTGATACAATAACTAGAAACTCCCGACTTGAATTTTCAACCAACACAGAGTGTAGCAGAAGCTTGTGAAATTCTCTTTTCTTATAGCCACTACATAATTTCATTTTTTTTTCAGTATTGAAATATTTTTCAGTATTTGTAGTAATAGTTTAAGAAAAAAGTTTCACTATGTTTAGGGTTAAAAAAAGTCTAACAGGTCTATACATCTGTTCTTTTAAAAAACCCACATTCTCCATTTTTGAGATGTCATAAATATGTAAATGAGGGCTCTTTAATTACTGCCTAAGGCTATAAACTCGCATGCTAGAGGGGAAGGAAGAAGGAAGGCAAAGAATAATTCACATAATTTTTTCTTTTTTTTTTCTTTTTTAAGAGAAAGAGATTGGGTCTGTACCTCAGAAAAGACAGCAGAAGAACGGGGCTTTTTATTGCTGAATTACCAGAAGGTGCTGGAAGCACTTCTTTTTTTGTTTATCCTTTTGGATGGAGTTAGCATATAAAGCAGTAGCGTACGACCCTTCTGGCTAATGTGTGCACCAAACAGAGGGGAACTGTTACGAAGCACCAGGTAAAATTCCCTTCTCTATCCCACTCTGCCAGTACCCTTAATCCTGATCAGCAACATCCCCTGCTGTCTCTCGAGCTGCTCCCAGTACCTGAATCTTAGCATGGTTTCTAATGCGGGTACACCAGAGGCTAGGGAGGGACCCTGCAAAGTCATTTTCACTTTTGACCTGACAAGTGCTCGGCACTTGACTGAATAGAAGTTTGCTCTTACAGAAAGGCCAGCAGAGCCGAGTATCTTAAAGCACCACTATTTTTAAGTAAGGTGATCTGGTTGCTACTTTTAAAACAGCATGAAATCAACAGAAAAGGCATTTTTTTTTAAATTCAGGATGTGGATGCGCACATGGGGAACTATACCAGTGTACAGCAGTACCTGTGTAGTAGGTATAGTTACTGAAAATTTCTTCTGCTGGTATTTTTTCCAGGCAAAATGGTCTGGTGTCAAAATGCTTATTCTGCCTTGGTAAAACTGCAGATCTATATGATAATTTCCACTTTCCATGTTTAATCTTTTAATTCTTGCTGAGGCCTATGAAAGAATAATTTCCAGATAATAATGGTTTCCCACTAATGAGCTCTGCGTTTTTTATAGCAGAAGTGACTTAGAACCAGTATGCTCACTGAAGAAAAGTATTCTATTTGATGCTCTTCCGATGTATCTGAGAGAAAGGTAAAAATGAGTCTTGCAGGGCGTGAGGCAGGATATTTCAAGTACGAAGTGTTAATGTCATTGTATGTGGTGAGGCTTCATATGTACAATTTTGGCTGTTTGGTTCATGCAACAAATGTTTACTGCCTGAGGGAGTTAGTGGACTGAGGGGCTTCTCTTGACTAGAAGAGAATAAATGAGCTTGGGCTGGTGAAAGTAGCACACTGGCGGTGGTAAAGGGCTGGTGGGTGTCTGTCCATGCAGTGAGGGGGAAAAGGTGGAGGGAGCCTGGCAGGGCAAAGACTGTTTTAGCCAGAGAGCATTAGTGACGTGAGAGCAAGTGGAGTTGAGAATGGAAGTGAAAATACTTCTAGCTACTAGGGCAAGGGTGAGAGTCAGAGACTGCTTTTCAGTGGGAGCCATTTGGTGTTAAAAGCTGAACTATTTTTGTGACTGAATTTGCTCAGTTTATGACAGAAATTGTATGGTGCGTCTGTGTAGGAGAGCAGGGGACTGTGTTCCCATTCCTGCCTCCAAGAGCCCTATTGGGCCCCTGCTCAGTCGTGTGAGTTAGTTCTGTGCACTCTGCCCTCTGCTTTTCCAAACGGGCTTTGAGAAGCTATGCCATGTGGGAGAAATGACAATTTGGACAAGTACAATAGTAAGCTGTGGTTCAGGTAGCTGATAGCAACCTTCAATTTCGTTTGTGGTTAAGTGGAAGGCAGAGAATTGGTGTGGTATTATATGTACAGTTCATAAATCAACATGCAGGATAGTTTGTTGGTATGAGTGACAGCACATGAATGCAAGTTGTTGTCATTGTCTCTGTGAAATCTCTCTGCAGCCTTCCAGCCCTGAAGTATATTGCCAGTAACACCAGAGGCAGCTACTGATGCCACTAGTATTTTCCTTACTGGTTCATTAAGCAAAAATGTCCTGACTACTTAAAAAAAAAAAAAAAAAGCCTCAGTTTGCATTTCTCCAAATATTTCAACAAAAATCTATGTGCGGGTATACGCTTGTATTTGTTTTCAGCATGCCCTTCGCTATCTGTCCTGATGTTCAATTAAAATGCAGATAATGTGTCCCAGCTTGTAAGATGGATCACTACTGAAGTGGTGTCATGTCTGGGCTAGCTTATCTCTTGATAAATACCTCTGCTGTCCACTGCGAGATTAAACTTCATGACTACTGAGGTCTGTTTGGGGGTCTTACAGGCGGTTAAGACTGCCTTACTCACTTTTAATAAAATGTATCAATTTACATTTGCTAGAGGACCTTTGGATGGCATTTGCTATTGAGAAGGTGGCAGTGGCATAATCAAACGATAATACTTGTATGTGAAACTGGCTTTTCCATTTTAGAAGCATTATAATTTATTGACAGGAGTGCTTTATTGAACCCTCTTGTGTCTAGAGTGTGGAGATGAGAAGCTTGAGCTGCTGTTATGAGACCTCATTTAGCTGTCTGGCAGAAAAAATTTCTTTCCTGGAGTCTAATCCTGCAGGAGCCATGGAAGAACATTATCAGCTAGTCACAGAAATCTCAGGCGGCTTGGGTGTGTGGGATGCACATGGATGGTGTGGTCTGGAGTCTGTCTCGCCGTGACAGCCATGCAGTCAGGGTTCCCACCATGGGGAATACTGTTCTTCTTCTGGGGGTTGAGTACAGACAGTGCTGGGCTTGTAGAGGTGCTTTAACTGAGATGTTGAGTCGTGTAGGAGTGGTGAGCGGCCCGCTTCTCTAACCAAACAACTATCTGAAAAATTTGCTGTCTCTCATGTGTATGTAGGGAGTGGAAAAGAATTTTGTCATGGATAGCTCTCTGAATAACAAACTGCTCAGAGCCACTGAAGAGGTTCTGCATGAGTCCAGGACCTTGCTTGTGCTGGTGTAAAGTTTTACGTAAATACAGTGTTTGGTTATGTATTTCTGAATCTGTGCCCACTCCCTGTTCGTGAGTGTGAGGGTACAACTTCTTAGACTGTACTGCTCTGTTGCAGTAAAAGGATATGGGAATTTATAGGCAAAGACTGTTTTCACATTCCAATGTGCAGTATCTATGGTTTCATTTCCATTTTAGATGCTATGAAAGTAATTGGAATGGCAGAGTATACATATGTATGTGTGAAACATTTCTGTGCCCCTGAGAAGTGAATTCTAGAAAAAAGCACTTAAAGCTGCTCAGCTTACTAAGTACAGGCTGGAGTCTCATGCAGTTCTACTTAAAACATAAATAAGTAGAAGTCATGATGCAAACCATTTGGTGGACTGAAACTGTTGATGAGTTGTTGGCTTCTGTCTTTATGATCTGCTGTTCTGCATCTATAGGAAAACTATAAGGCAAGACCAGAGAGGGGGAATGTGTGGAAGGGGCCCAGTGAAACACAAACCACGCCCACACCAGGAGGCTTACTTATGCTTACTTGTGCTTTTAGCGTCTTGCTCTTGGTCCAAGTTTGGGTGGCATTTTGGCCATTCCTGCCTTTCAGATCACTAGAGCTGTTTGTGCTATGGCTAACCCCTTACCCCAGTCTGAACACAGGGGTAAGGGAGAGGTAAATGGTGAATTCAGTATGATATGTGCATGCTGATTTAGCACCTACCATTTCCCCCTCTTGCAGGCGTTGTTCTTGATTCCAGACACATACCGTTATCTTGACAAAGAGCCACTTATGTGTGATCATGGAGTGTAATGTAAAGCATGGCTCTGAAAGAGTTAATGAATACACAGAGCGGGGCTCATCTTGATGGCACCAGTGTGTACCAAGCTGTATCCACAAACATAACTCAGCATGACGAGCATCAGTTGTGGGCTTAGGGGACTGCAAGTTTGCTCTTTAGATCATCATAATTTATTACCAGTTTTCATTTGATGATTATATAAAGCTGTAGCAACATGAATTAGAACTCCTAACACTACTCTGAGCCTTCACTTCCATTTTCTACATTTTTTTACTGTCACAGGGAAGTTTTAATTTGCCTTAAGTTACACAGTTTGTTAGAGATGGGCCTAAAGAGTCCAGGACATGCTTTTCCCAAAGTAACATGTAGTTTGTTCAGCTATGGATACCTTGAAGAGCCCTATTTTTTATAAGGCAGGAGCTGCTGCTCAGCCCTTTGGTCTGAACATCAGGCCTCTTCCATATACGCTACATTGTGCACTTGGAATCGTTAGTCATTCTGAAAGTCTTGGTCGAGTTGTGAATCCCAATCTTTAACTCACTGTCATCTCACCCATTTCAAGGGCTCATTAAATAGATCTGCTAGTTGGAAGAGAGCAGCATACCTGTTGCTTTTACTTTCAATACAGAAATCCAGAGTCCTCATAACACACATTTTGTGTTATTTTGGGCCATGTAATTCTGTGCCCTATCCAATTCATTTAATGCTTATGGGAGATATTTTCTCTCAGAGGAAGACTGGGAAGAATCCCCATGCCCTTGTCCTCGCAAAAGCCAGACCATCATTGTTATTGGGATTATTATTATTTTATCTCGCAATGTGCTCTGGGTTTCTTGCAAGTGGGTCTGCTCGATTGTTTAGCTGGTAGAAGTGCATGGACTGTGCTCAGTGATCTTTTCTGTCCTTTTTGTCTTGCAGATCGAGGGATTTTAATGGCTTTCAGGTAGAAGAAAGTGGAGACAATCAAAATGAATTCTATGGACAGGCACATACAGCAGACCAATGACCGGCTGCAGTGCATAAAACAGGTAAGCTGAAGGCGGAGATCATTGCTGCTAGACAAGCATTGTGTATTGTGTGGCAAGGTGTGTTATGCATTATGGTTACCTGTTGCTTAATGAATATCCTTGCCTTTTAGAGGGGAGGAGAGTGGTAGGGATGAGACATTGTTAATCTCACTGAAGGGAAGAGAATCTGCTGCAAGAGCTGGTGTAATAAACCTCAAAAGCCAAGCTTTCCCTTCCATCTTTCTAAGAAATCTTCACCCTGGAGACTCAACAAATCTGTCTCAGCTGAAAGCAGAGTGGTGCTAGTCCTGCCAGCTCTGTCCTGAAGGTGTCACAGCAGGCAGCCATTGTACTTGTGCTCCAAGCACAGTAATCCAAAATTTCGACAGGCCGGTTTTGATTCTAATCCAGTTTCTGACCTGAGACCTGCACTGCCTGGAGACTCGAACTTGGATGGTTGGCATAACTCCAAGTGCTCAGGTTAATCGGTTTGTGTGGAGATGTAAAAACTTCTGTTTGCAAGGTAAAATTTTCAGAAGCATCTGTTTGTGAAGATGAAGGGCCCTTACAATTCACTGAAAGGCAGTGGAATCTAAGTCTCATTTACAGATTTCCCCACTGTAACTGTGCTTGCAAATGCTTTTATAACCAAGTGAAACTACCAAGGGAAGGATGGAATGAGCAAATGCCATCTTTCCCTGCTTCACCTTTCTCAGTGAGCTTTGCTCTCTGGTGTTGCAGGCAGCATGTATCCTCCCCTCACATACATTCTTCTCTGCATGCAAGAATCCTTACAGAAAATTCATAGCAATGGTCCTTTGTGTAGAGGAGGTGAGCAAGAGAATGGTTTTCTATGTTGATGTTTCCTGTTTTTATCTCTAAACCAATACATGCATGCAGCAAACAGGTGCATAAATGCAAGCTGCATACAGGTATTTTGAAGGTTAGTTATCCCAGCTGGATCCATGAGATGAGCTCCAAAGTTTATCTCTTCAGAACTGGTTGAAATTTTCTGAATTACATTGAAAAAACAGAAGGACATTATTCTGTGAAATAATGTTCCCAAATCATTTTTCCCTGTTGTCTGAGCAGTTTTCTCTGTCAGTTCAGGCCACAGCATGTTTAGAGGCCAGAGTCCTGCTGTTTCAGTTTTATATTTGTATTAACTAAGTTAAAAACCTACCTGCCTACTTTTGCTGTGGGACATGTGCATATTGCTTCTTGAGGGAGCACAGCATTTCTCTGTTCACAGATTTCTTTGTGTTGTAGACACAAGCACCCTAAATCAAAGGAACTAATAAAAAATAAGCATGGGGGTAGTACTGGATTGGTCTAGATTTTAAAACTTGTTTTATTTTCTTTTATCTACAACTTCCTCAAGAAAGGCAGCGGAAGGGGAGGTGCTTCTCTTCTCTACCAGATCTCTTCTCTCTGGTAACTAGCAATAGGACACAAGGAAATGGAACTGAGGTCTCATCAGAGGAAGTTCAGATTGGACATTAGGAAAAGGTTCTTCACTGAGGGTCAGGGTCACTGGAACAGGCTCCCCAGGGAAGTGGTCACAGCACCACTTCAGTTCAGGGAGCATCTGGATGATGCTCTTAGTCATATGATTTAGTATTAGGTAGTCTGTGAGGAGCAGGGAGTTGGACTTGATGATCCTTATGAGTCCCTTCCAACTTGAGATATTGTATGATTCTATGGTTATGTTTCCGTTCTCTTCGTTTCAGCAGTCTCCATCATTATCTTTGGTCATGCTTGCCTAGATATTAGTAGAAGTTTCTATTTGCTAGAATGTGTAGTAATGCAAAGAACAGAAAATGTGTGTTTATTTGCAAGTCTGGCCATGCACATGCTTTGGGGAATATAAAAAAAGAATAGCTTTTATACCTAAGCCAGCTGATTTTTCTCTCTGTTTCCTGTATAAGAGAGGATTTCAGAATAAATTAAACAAAGCTAGTTTGGAGCAGAAATAGGAATCTGTCTGTGCAGAATTGCTGGTCATAATCTAGCCTCAGTCTGTGGTGGCTCTCTCCTTCATCACTCTGTGGAGAAAGTTAATGCATCTCATGGCCCTTTAGAGGTCTGAGGGAAATATGAATTTGGGGATTTCATCCCAGTTTCTTCTCAGCAACTATCTGGTTCAGAAAAAATATGCCCTTGACTGGCACAAATTTGTGTCCTTTTTGACCATCCTAGCCCATAGGATGAAGAATGAAGTGACTTGCAGAACAATTTAACCTTCAGCTGTAAGAACAGACTTTTACATAGAGTGGAGACAAATGGAGGATGCTGCTCAGTTCCTTTTTCTAGAGCTGTCAGCTTCTGTACATAAAGAATTTGTATTATTTTAATTAGATAAAAGAATATCAAATTACACTTCTTACAGTATTAAAGAGATATTTTTGCCTATGTAATGAGTACTCTGTCAGTTAAACTACTACTTCATTTATACATAGTGCTGGTTTACATATGCAGCTACGATATTTCTTCAGTGATGAAGGCCGAGGGGAAGGGAGGAAGGTCAGACTTCACAGCATTCGTGGAGCATTCTCGGTTTTGTTTGATCCTGTCTGGAAGACAGCTCCGGGTTTTCTGGTGGGCAGGGGCATGCTTGCATAGCTGCTCTGTTCTGTCAGACAGCAAAGGATGTCTGACAAGGAGGTTTCCTACTTGGGCATGCTTGTGAATTCACGGTGCCTTCGTTCTGTATAGGCCTGAATAAGAGAATAGGGATGCTTTTGTTTTCAACTCATGAAAATGTGTAGTTAACCCAGACAGTGGCTGAACGCCGGAAATACAAAGCAGAAAGCTTTTTTTGTGGAAGTGGCAATACTTGTGGTTTTGTTGGAGAGGAACGGCTGATTTTTTTGGTTGTTTTGTTTTGTGTTGTTGTTGTTGTTGAAGAAGAACTTAGCATAGAGTCTGCTCTTTGCTTTTTCATAGTTCAAAAATCTTGTGCTGTTACCTTTGCCGTAGTGGAGCAAGAGACAGAAACCAACTCTGACTAGCTTTTTGGAGGAGACTCGCCTCTCTGGCACAGTGTCATAAATTTCCACCTTGGAGACATTTACCTTGTTCTTTGAGACAGGTCATTAGCTGGCAAAATTAACGTGGTACCACAAAGAGTAATTTCCAGTTCACCCATAGAGAACTGGACTGCACACTCATATGTGCATGTTGGTTTGGGGAGCAAAGCAGTACCTTGCGTGGCTGTATCAATGCATCTTCACCAATTTTGGGGATTAACTGCAGGGTCAGACAAAAATCTGCCTGCATTTTCTTCCCTGGTCTCCAGTCTTTTATCCTTTCTTCCTGGCCTGTGAACAAACAGTACTGCTGTTCTCAAGAGACATGTGGTTTCGGGGTGGTTAACATAGCAGTGGCATGAAAGGTGCACTGCAACAGGGGGAGGAAAACCATCCCTCCTTGGTGCCCAGCATCTGCATGTTTTATAACCTTGCTGGCAGCTCATGCAGCCAGACCAAGAGCTGTCTGCCGCCCTCCTTACCACTCACCCCAGCCCCTGAGAAACACTATAAATGGTAATCCATGTGCCTCTAACTAGATCAGGTTTCAACACAGGGTCAGGACAGGCTTCTTTCTTCCCAGCTCTGTGACTTGTGAGACACCCACAATATCCTTGCTGACTTCTGTTCCAGGATCAAGGCTGTGTTTTACCTTCATCTTTTTTAGCACTTTAAAGCTACAAACCCAAAACTTGTATATGATCAGCTAGTTAGGAAATGAAGAGTGTGTGTGTGTGTGTGTGTGTGTTAAGAAGTGTTTCAGAATAGATGAAAGGGCAAACTGAAGAGGTGGCTGTGTATTTATGCTTAAAAAAACCCCCAGACTTCTGTGGAAGGCTGGAACAGCTTGTGTGGTCTCTGTAGCGGATTCCCTCAGTATTTGTTAAGTCTATTTGCTTTAAAATCAAACATAGGGTTTTTTTGATGTACAGTGGAAAAAGCCAAAGTAACAGGCCTCCCTTAACACATGCAATTAGTTTGTCATGACACAGGAGACTCTTCAGGGTACGATGAAGGAGGAGGGATCTTCAGGATGCAGACTTTTTAATTCTTTGCCCATACAAACAAAAACCACAAAATTATTTTGTGCTCAGCGAAGGTCTGATAGCTCCTGAGCACTGCCTTATTCGAGGCTGCAGTAATAATCTGTTTATCTGCTGAGTACTTATTGCTTGGGTTGCTCGAATGCACCATCCACCATGGAGCTCTGGAGCAGCAGGAGCTGGGTTGGGCGGGTACAGAGCTGAATTTGAGGGGCCCAGGCACAGCCTTCTGAAGGAGCCAGCTTGGCTCCCACTGGATAGGAAGTCCTGACAGGGAATTGACTGGTTTTCTTAAACTGTTCTTCATAACAGACCAGAGGTATGGCTTTAATCAAATAGTGTCCATTATTTTCCTTATGTGATACAAGCAAATAGCAGACAGAATCAGTGGTTTGCATGACATCTCCTCTCTACTCTTACCCTGATGGGTCCACTTTAAAAACTTAGAGCTATTTTAAATCTAGGGACTCGTACCTTTTGTCTCTGCTCTCAGTCAGTTTGTAAGGTTTCTATACATCTCTTCTGAAATTCTTGAAAAATAGAAGATGGAGAAAATCTTTCTATGTTTAAGTTACAAGGAAGCCACCCCTTTCAGAATAGGTGCGTGATATCTTCCTGCCGTGCTGAGAATGGTTGTCAGGGTACATACTAAAGCTGTGCTGAAATTTTAGTAACACGTTAAAAGGAAGTATGAAAAGACTTTCTGCTATCAAAAGTACTTGACTGTGGTGGGAACAGAGAAGGTTGTTTCTGCTGCTTGTGTCATGGTACATCAGGACACATTGAACACTATCATCAAATGATGCTGAATCACTTGGGGAACCCCACTTAACTGGAGGCACACATCACGTAGCTGATTTCTAGAAACAGATTCGCGTTTCCCCTCTCTTTCTGTCAAGAAAGCTTGCTGAATTGCTGCAGTTGCAATGCTTTATAATGCCTACCCAGC